TATTTATTTATTTATTTATGGGGGGGGTGATGGAGGACGAAAAGTGCGAAGGTGAGACAGTAATCATAATGAAAATAACGTTAGCGACTAAAATGACGAAGTTGAAGGAGTGAATGAGGGTAAATGCTATTGATTTGTTCTAAAATTATCTGGCTTTTGATTTGAGAAACCCCAGGGATTCTGTGAGAATGAACTCTGTTCGATGGAACTGTAAAATTATTTCCGCGACAACCAGTTGTTAATTGTCGGGTTGATTCAAGGGTATACCTTTGAGCAAGGTCTTACTTTACCTTATCCGTCCTCATGTAGCTCTAGGGCGTCGAGGGAGGGAAAGAGCTTCCTGTCTCTAGCAAGTTTGATGGCCTGGCTAGGTGGGATATTGAATGTTCTCAGGGTATCCTTCACACCCTGGATCCAGGTCTTTCTTGGTCCTTCTCTTGCCTTCTACCCTGATATTTTCATGTAGTAGGCTTTACTGGCAAGCTGGTTAGGTTCCCTGCGTGTAAGATGTCCAAACCACTTTATGTTTACCTTCGGATGCAGTGGAGGACAGGTGTTGTTTCCCACCATTTCTCTGATCTTGTTGTTTCTGACCATGTCCCGTCTGGTCTTGTTGACGGCTCTCCTTAGACATCTCATCTCGAAAGTGGTTATCTTACGTTCTAGACTTTTGGTCAGTGTCCATGTCTGCCACTGGTATGTCAAAGTGGGGATGAAGATAAAGTTAATGAGTTTTGCTTTGGTCTCAATGGGGATGTTGGGATGTTTGAGGAGTGGTAGCTGACGCTGTTAGCCTTTTGTACTCTCCTCTCAATTTCTCTGTTGAAACGTCCGTCTTCCGAAAAGAGCAAAGTATATCTTAAAATTTAATCCAGATAAGAATTTGCTTGTAAATGTGTGTTTATATGTCATTGTTTTTGTTCGTGTTGATGAAACGTAAATGGTTTGACTTGTTCTCGCCTCTGTAAGATGTCTTGTCGAAAAGGACGAAAATAGGGGTAATTTCTTTATCTTTTTGGTTAGTAAATATTTAAATGGACATAATAAGATAGACAGAGAAGTAAAGTCTCTGTTTCTGCCTTTGTCTCTGTCAGAACAAAATGCAGAACTCTCGTATGTTAGGGCCAGTCTGTACTTCTAAGGACAACCGGCATTTGCTATTTTTTGGGCTTATAATGTATTATACATACATTATGCATTTATTTATATTGTATTTTTATCTCTCTTTGTTTCTCTCTATTTATTTCGCCAACTCGTGTATCAATCTGTCCCTCTGCGTGCGTCTGTCTGCGTCTGTCTGTCTGTCTGTCTGTCTGTCTGTCTGTCTGTCTGTCTGTCTGTCTGTCTGTCTGTCTGTCTGTCT